TTGAGGTAATCAGTCGCAGAAACATAAATTTGAACTTAAAATGAGTGCAGAAATAGGAAATGTTTCAGTGACAAGGGATAGATTTTTTCCGAATTTTCTAAAATTAAAAATGCAATGGCAAAAAACAGTATATTTTTATCAGACGAACGGTATAAGCAGTTGATAAGTGATGTTAATAATGTTAAAGCTACCGAGAAAAAGGAACAGGCCAAGGTTTTGTAAAATGTTCTTGTAAAAAACTGTCAAAGCAACAAATATTTATGCATAAAAAATAAGGTCCAGTGTCAGTCGAAATGTCATTCAAGTATGCCGTGTTGTAACAAATAAATTACAAAAGAAAGTTAATATTTTTATAACAGAAAAATGTATATTATTTGAAATAAAACTAAATTTTATACTTTGCCTAAAGTCTAGTGGGCATTTTATATAATGCCTAGGCAATGTATAGAAAATCTTTTTTTTATACACATTGCCTGAGACAGACAGGCATTTTATATACTGCCTAGGTATTTTATAAAATGCCTGATTACATACTTTGCCGGTAACATATATACATGTTGTCTTTTGTTACCCTCTCGTGTTACAGCACTGTTAGGTGAAACGTAGCTTCATTGATTGCGACGTCGTACTCGCCGGGGCCACGAAAGGAAAATCCAAACCTCACAACTCTTTCGAGTTCTATACCATTCAGATCAGCTTTTATTATAGTTGAAAGAGTTATCCTTTCGTAGACTAATTTTTCTTCCATTTTCACGTGACAAATTATTTTCCGTCATTCTCAATATCAAATTTCCTTCTTTTAGGGAGGATAATTATTAATTAGTAGTTTAGAAGTCACATACTACATTCCCATTAATTAACTACATTGATAATTAGTTTATGATTTTGAATCAGTATTCTGCTAATTAAAAAGATTTTCGAAATATATAAAAACTATAGATATTTAAAATTCCATTTCTTGTTCACATTTTTTTCCTGATTGGAAATTAAACTAATTATGCTTCATTATTTTTATCAGGTCTCTAAATCTGAATCTAAATTTTTAGTAAAAACTAAATACTAAAAAAGTATTGCTTATGATCACTTCCTATACTTTACAATTAACAGTGTGTATTCCTAAAATTAATATACACATATACAAAAGCTGGTAAAATATTGATAACAAATTCCTTTTTCGTGGAAATTTTTTGGTTATTGTTAACGGGAGGTTCCCGTTCTAAGATCCAAAAATTGCCAAATTTTCAGGACTTGTTTTTTGGTACAAAATAAAGTATTGTGCAAAAACATTTTGATAGGTTTTGTTTGTAAATCAAAGACGTAATTTATTAAATTTTTTCACATTAAAAAATATTTCAAAAAGTCGCCTCAAGCTCCCGCCAAAAAAGCCGCTCCCGTCGCGAAGTGACCCGCGTTGTTCCTTTTACAGCCTCTGGTTGAGATATGAAATCAAAAAACCAAATAATTCTTAAAATACAAGACATTTGTATTCAATGTTAGTTTTTGCCAATTTAAGTCTAATCGGCTATTCCATGTCCATGCAGGGTTCCTTTTTCTTCTTCAAAAAGCATGTTCCTTTGAACATGTCGTGCTCTTCTCGGTAAACTTTTTCGCGTGTTCGGCATTTTTCTGTCGCGTTGATTATTTACATGATTGTCCCACGTATTCTTAATAACGTAAGGTTAAAAATTAAGCAACAAAAAAAATTTCCTGGCTTTGACTTTTTTAACGATATATGTTACTTTTTTAGATCGATTTTATAAAATAGAATAACCAGAGGAGGTCTTTCATAGAAAGACGAAAGCTCGAATATAAAAATTTATCTAAATAAAGACCAGCAAAAATACACCTGAGTCTTTATGGCTAATAATGGAAGTATAGTTGGGGGTATAAACAATCTGAAAAATCCTTGAGACAATAATGTGCCTCAAGTAGGATAAAAATTATGTACTTTCAAACTTGGGTGACATTTTTTTTTAAATTTCAACAATTCAGAAGTTAAACTTGTTTAACTTTTTTAATGAAGATTTTTGAGAAACTATTAAACGGGGTTATATTATCTATTTAATAAGAAGTAATTTGAATTCTTACAGGAATGTGTGCCACTTATACATAAAGAATGAAATGACTTCAAACATTAAATTTAAAAATTATATACAAAAATATTTAATACAAACATATACTAGTAGTGGTTTTCTACTATTAAATTAGTAGTTAACTAATTAAAAATTAGTATACCTAATATTAATCTAATAATAATAATTAATAATAAATTTTGAAAATTTATTTTAAATAAGAAATTAATATAGAAATTTTTTTCACACGAACATCCGAGACTTATGGGACGTTTTATAGTGACGAAATAGATAATAACAGATCTTTTTGAATTATCTACATGGTAATGTCGATATTTATACACAAACATTGAAAATTTTAATCTTATCAATTATTTTTAAAGAAAATATTTTTTTCTCAATGTGATAATTTTCATCAAATTAATCTCAATTTTTTTTGCCAATTATAAAATAATTTTATACATATTTATTTTTTGGAAAGATTACTATAAATATAAAATGTTGATAAAAAAATTTTTTAAAATTATGAATACAATATTGTCACTATTTTAAAGAATGTTTCTGATCTAAGAATTTATTTTTATATTAGTTTAAAACTGCAATAAAAAAAAAAATATATATATATATATATATATATATATATATATATATATATATATATATATATATATATATATATATATATATATATATATATATATATATATATATATATCTGTCTATCTTATAAAAAGATATCGCCGCCGCCGCTGTTTCAAGATTCTGTAAGGGCGCCCTATCCCAAAAGGGCCGTCAAAACTTATGTCAAAATTGACCTATTTTTTGACATATAGGTCAAAAAGAGGATAAATAACGGCCTCACATTACGTCAAAATCTATGTCTAATTTGACCTATTTTTTTGACCTGTAGGTCAAAAAGAGGATAAATAACGGCCTCACATTACGTTAATATAGGTCAATTTTGAGGGCAGTTTTGACCTAGGCGTCAAAATTTGACAAAAAATTCCCGCTACCCTCAAAATTTAGGTCAATTTTGAGGCCAGTTTTGACCTAGACGTCAAAATTTGACAAACAATTTCCGCTACCCTCAAAATTTAGGTCAATTTTAAGGGCAGTTTTGACCTACGCATAAAAAATTGACAAACAATTTCCACTACCCTCAAAATTTAGGTCAATTTTGAGGACAGTTTTGACCCAGACGTCAAAATTTGAAATTTGTTTTCTTTGAAAACAAAGAATTCCCGCTACCCTCAAAATTTAGGTCAATTTTGAGGGCAGTTTTGACCTAGACGTGAAAGTTTGACAAACAATTTGCGATACCCTCAAATTTTAGGTCAATTTTGAGGGCCTACACATCAAAATTTGACAAAGAATTCCCGCTACCCTCAAAATTTAGGTCAAGTTTGAGGGCAGCTTTGACATAGACGTCAAAATTTGTCAAACAATTTCCGCGCGCAGAATTAATGATGAGGTGAAGTTTGCCATCTGACCTAACAATGTAAGGTAATTTTAAAATTGTGTTTGCTCTTGCACCTATCATTTTGACCTAATTTTTACGTTTTATTTTTACTCCCTCATTTAGTTACGTCATAATCTATGTGTAATTTGACTTTTATTTAACTACAACTTAAAAAGGGACAATAAAGGACAATAAACGTAACTATGATACGTCAAAATCTATGTAAAATTTGACGTCTTTTTAACCTATAGGTTAAAATGGGTCAAAATATATGTCAAAGTTTAATCTAATTTTTGACATATAGATAAAAAAGGTCCATAACTATTGTTACATTACGTCAAAATCTATGTGTATTTTGTCATGTATTGTATGCAATTTATTAAGATGCATTGATATTAAGAAAAAATTACTTTAAATTTATAAAAATTAAAATAAATATAAAAATAGAGATAGGGGGTTGGCGCGCGAAGCGCGCAGGGGGGCGAAGCCCCCCTAGTATATATATATATATATATATATATATATATATATATTATATTTATATTGTATATAATAATAACAGAAAATGCCAACTATAGTTTAATAAGAGTTGTTGTGTTAGTTTTTATTGACTGCAATTAAAGGGTTGTTACTGTTCGTTGCCTATGGATTGACAAAACTTCTTTTTCCTACATTTTTTTCACAGTGAACCTAAGTTGACACTGAAGATACACTGTAAAAAATTTAGGGAGTTAATGGACTCTGGAGTTGGGAGTGAAATTTTTCGATTTAAAAATCAACTCCAAAAGAGAGTTAATTTACTAACTTCCTTCATCAACACCCGCACGAGTTATTTATTCCTTGAGGATTTAGCATTTGGGTGTAAAGTTTTTAGTCTCTTTATCCAACTCTCCTGGCATTAACTCCCCAACGGGTGCGACTTTTATAGAATCCCCTGGGGAGTTAAAATTTAACTCCCTTTTTTTACAGTGTAGTTTCAGGTGCCTCCTTTTTTTAACAACTTTAAATTACTCTCTAAATCTATATTATAGTAGGTGGAGGTACAGCTATTTCTTATGGTCAACATAAAAAATGACGCTAATAACTTTGCCTTATAGGTGCACCTTTTTGATAAAAACGTGAGAGGTGTCTCCAATCACAAACGATTCTCTAATTTCAAAAATTCTACTTGAGAAAACTTCACTCCCCTCCAGGAATGTCATTTTCACTCCGAGTATCACAACAGACAAATGAAAAAAATATTTCCCAATTGTTATGGGAAAAGAAAGGAAAAAGAGATTTTTCCTGTGCCATGCGATTGCATCAAAAGCAAACCCGCTTCGTTGGAGTTGTTCGTGTTCCGGAGGGCGATGGAGAGACGCAAGGGGAGAGTTTGGAATAAGGCGGGTGTGTGTGGGTGGTGCGCGCAGGGTGTGGAGAGACGAGTGGGGCAAAGCATGGATAGAGAAGGCAGGAATCGAGCGGGAAAAGATGTGTGTATAGTTGTGCCGGTCTTTCACTGGTGGTAGTAAAACTAATAGTAGTAGTAGTTGCATGCTGCGAGAGAAGGCAGAAGGGTAAAACTGGCAGTCAGTTCGCGCGGGTCTGTCGTGCCGTGAATTTCCTTTCCTTCGTTTAGAGGGGGAACCTCGTTCCTCGCGCCACCCTTGTGGTTGCCGGTAGTAGTGGTGGTGATGGTAGTTCGGAAAGTGATTTGCTAGCCGCGTGTGAATCGACAGAAGGAAAATCAAGAGAAAAGCACCGATAGAAAAGGGGATGAAACTCTGAGTAAAAATTTAGCGTTTTTCAGTTTAATTTTCAACCCCTGCGGCTTCGAATGGAAGGAAGGAAGAGTCGCGCGCATGTCAAAGCCGGAAAACTGAGAGCAAGGAGTTGAACGAGAAAGTATGTATGGGAAAAAGATAACGATATACGAAAAGCGAGGGGTTCGCGAGTGATTCAAGTTTCTCTCATGGGTTTTCTCTGGAAAGAAGGTCAACGATCGATCGTCCTGTGTAAAAAAAGTCGGGACGACTTGACGGGACACCAGTGACACATTCACCGGTCTCGTCGTCAACGACATCACCGCCACCTTTCGTTAGAGGCTTCGATTCAATGTGAACTTCAGAATAAAGGGCCAAAAAAAATTATGAACGAGATGAGCCGTTCGTATCGTGAGGTGAGGCGACATCGCGCCCGACGTCGCCGATGACCGGTCTACGCTTTATTCCCTTTTTTGCGGTGAATAATTCTAGAATAGGACTGGAAGAATTTTGTTGGGGGTGAAAAAGATTTGCGTAGCCAGGCAACGCATTTCGAAAAAGAAAACGAGGAAGGTGCAGGAAGACCGAACGAGAGGAGAGTTGGAGAAAGAGGCGGAGGAGGAAGAAGAGACGGAAGGAAAAGAGAAGAAAATCGAGGGGGTGGGGGGAATAACAGGGAGATTGCGCTCAAGAGAGAATGTCCAGAGACCCCTACTCGAGCGGAAGCGGCGTGGCCGTTCCAGGCGGAACACGTTCTCCTAGAAGTGGTCGTCGAGTCGGGGAATTGCCGACGGTCGACCGTAGTCCCTCGAGAAGTTATGCGAGCGGTCGCGGCAGTCCATTGGGCCGAAAACGCGGAACCCGAAGTGGAAATAATTCGCCCGAACATCTCGGTTACGGAAGTTACCACCATCATGCGCTTGGAAGTCCCTATTATTCGCGCGACGAGGACCTAGGCAGTCCTGTGATGATAGACGAGAGGGGCAGGAGTATGTCAAGTGGAGCTGGTGTTCATCATCGTTCAAGAAGTGCGTCAAGGCCAGCCATGTCGAACTCAATCGGTCTCTCGGCCAGGTACACGAGTCTCGATCGTGCATCGGCGGGAATCCTTGATCACGATCGGGAATTCGTGCCAATCAGGGATCCGAGGGAGCGTAGTCGAGACCGAGGCCTCTACCTTGACGATGACCTCTACAGCTCGAGGTCGGCCCGTCAGAGTCCGAATACTCACATGCTTCGCGATGGTGGCAATTATATTGGCGAACTTCAACATCAGAACAACGATCTTCAACGTGAATTGGGCAATCTCAAGAAGGAACTCGAGTTGACGAATCAGAAACTTGGGAGCTCGATGCACAGCATCAAGACCTTTTGGAGTCCCGAATTGAAGAAGGAGCGCCAGCTGAGGAAGGAGGAGAGCACCAAGTACAGCCTCATTAACGAGCAGCTCAAACTTCTCAACTCGGAAAACCAGGTCAGTTAGTCCCTGTATTTTTGCCCTCTTCTTTTTTGTCTAAATATGGCGTCCGTTTTGTAATTTCCGCAATTTTTCGGAAGGGCCAAAATTGACAGGTAGAATGTAATTTTGTCATTGCCTACCACGTGTAGGTCTAGTTAATCAGAATGGGATGCGCGAGTCATCAGTGTACCATCCTCTCGCTCAATAACGTTTAAACGGATACGCCTTCAGAGGTCAGGTAATCAGGTCGCACCATATTCAAATATAACCTGTCTTCCGTGTTCGCATGCATTTTTTACAATTATCCCCCCTCAGATTAATTCAGCATTTGTCAGTTTAATTCTAAAATTAACCCAACTCGTTGAAGCCATTAAATAAACAAAATTGTCATCGATTTTACTTGTTTTGAGTCTCCAAATTCTTCTTCCTTTGTCTAGAATTCCATCTAGCACTACATATTGCCTATTTTAATACTCAATTGTTTAAATTAAAACAATTCCTAAAATTTAATGCTGAAAATGATTAAAACTTTACGATATATTAATAACGGGAATGGAAGAAATCAAAAGGTCATGTGGAAATTAGTTTCATGTCATTCGCAGTGTTAGTTTGACATTCTGGTAATTATACTGCAATCAGAATTCAATCGGAATGAATAAGAAAAGTAAAAATTACTTTCATTCAAAGAAAAAGGTATTTTATTAATTGTTTTTGTATGAATAAAAGTACAGAAAGATTTTACAAATGGGTGTCTTTCCTCTAAAATAGAAACTGAATACAAATTAAAATTATGAGAAAAAAATTAATTAAAAACTACAGTATTTTTCTAATTTACAAAATAATTTGTTTATAGAAAAATACGAATTAACAGTAGAATTAAAAATATCGTCGTTCATTTAAAGGTTCAAAACGTTAGGAACTTAAGTTTAAAGCTAGATTGAGTCAATTATAGGACTTTAAATTATACTCTCCAAGCTACAATTTATTAAAAAATGGTTTAGTCAAAAGTGAACTGAAAATAAGATGTATTTTTTACAAGTTTAGATATAGAATAATTGTATCATTTAGATAAAAGAAATGAAATAATTCATATCCTATATCTCCATTTTGATTTGAACCAATGAATTTTCGTGTTGGAACCACCTGATGGCCTAAATTTCAGTTATCGAAAAACAATTTCTTGGTGATGCTAAATATACCTATACGTCGTATAGTGCAATGTTCACAAATATTTATCAAAATCAAAACAAAGAGAGTAATTAAATTCTTGACGATATTATATACTGAAGGAAGCGCGATTATTTTGAAAACGAGATCAATTTTATGATTGTTGAAAAGAAGAATGTTCATTTAAGTACTTTTATTCCCGATTTTCTATACATAAATACAAAAGCAATCTCAGTTGCTTGGTATCCAATCATCATGATCGTTTAATGTTCAGAAAAGATTTATTCAGCAATGCTGGCAATATGTCTACATGCACATAGCACATACAAGTCTATACAGTGCCCCCCACATACATGCCAATGATATTTATTAGTGGGTTGGCTGACGATGAATGAATCATTGCACTCAAACGAAGAAATCGAAAGAATTCCTTTGGCAAATTGCCCATATTTTCTTCTATCCGTCAAGCATTCGTATCATTATATACGAATCCATATAAATTTTGGTGTTATTAATTAAAATAATAACAATTGCTGATTATTTTTTTATCAATTGCAATGACTTTCCTAATTACTTGAATAATGAATTTATTTCTTTTATCAAAATAACTTTTGTAACTACAAATGAATTTTAGCTTTTGTCATTACATTACTTTAAACTTCTTTATTAGTTGCCTGTCAGTGCTTCCAGACAGTGTTGGCGCAGTACTGGTCCAGTGCTGGCTGAGAATACTGCCGCAATAAATATCTTATTGTTATTTATAATTGTAAATTAATAATTATTAATAATTTAACAACAAAATAATAAATAATATTAATAAATAGTTATTATTCATAAAATATTACTGTTCTTAGGTAAATTATATTTAAGATGGAGACTACCTGTGTAAAAATTTTGCCATGGCCCTAATCGAGGTCAGATCTGGAGTCCCTATTATTGTCATGAAACACCTTCCCAGATCGTGGCCAAGTCTGGCCAGAGCTGGCCCGATCTGGGAAGGTGTTTCATGCCATATTATGGCCACAATATGGAAATTTCTACGGGTAACAATGGATATATAGTAAATGAAGTATTAAGCAGAGCTGGGTAAAATGGTTCTTTATTTCTATTTAAAATACAAAATGCCAAATAGATTCATAAAACCTATTTAAAATGTAAAATGGAAAATAGTTGTCTGTTTCTTATTTAAAATGCAAAATGCAAAATATGTATTTGAAATAGGTTAATATAAAATGCAAAATGGTTTTTAAAAAATTTTTATTATAAGATCTAGAGTATCCTGACAGTTCGAAAATTTTTTAATTTTAATATGCTTGTTTGCTTTTAAAAGCAATTCCCACATAGCACAACATTTTTCAGTAAGTTTGCAGCAAGTTCGCGGTGCAAAGTTCGGAGGTTTGCATGGAAAGTTTGCAGCAAAGTTTATGGACGTATAAAAATGTCTGCCCGATTTAAAGTTTGCAATGCAAACTTGCTACAAGTTTTCACGGAAAACTTACAAATAATTTTATAGCAAACTTGAGAATAATTTGCCGCAAACTTTCTAAAAAATCTCAACGTTAACGTATCTCAACTGTCATAGAAAACTAATGCGCAGACATTTAAGTTTAACTTTGCCATGCAAATTTTCAGCAAGTTTGCATTGCAAACTTTAAATCGGGCAGACATTTTTATACATCCATAAACTTTGCTGCAAACTTGACATGCAAACTTCCGAACTTTGCACCGCAAACTTGCTGCAAACTTTCTGAAAAATGTTGTGCTATATGGGTTGCTTTTCAAAAATGTCGTCTCCCATGGACCTTTTTTTGAACGTAAAATCATTCCAGCGTGGCTGAAAAGTCGTTTGACAGGAGCCGATGATGGAAGGATTGTATTGTACTTACAAAAAAGATCTTTGATTTTTGATAACGCATTAAGGGTCTGTCCAGTCCCACGGCGGCGTGAAAAAGGAAAATGAAAAGCGTTTAGCCAATAAAAACATTCGATTCAAAGGAAATAAGAAGATTTCCATTGTAGCATAAGTTCCTATTATCTAACGCTTTCCGCTTTCACGCTGCCATGGGGGTGGACCTTTAATTGAAAGGTTTTAATTCAGCAGTGAAAATTTGCATTACTATTGAATAGTACTGAAAATGGAAATGGAATTTTAAATGGAAAATAGGTTGTAAATCTATTTAAAATAGAAAATGCAAAATGGTTGTTTCATTTCTATTTGAAATATAAAATAGAAAATGCCATTTTTCATTTCAAATAGGTATTTCAAATAGATTCATTTCAAATATTTACCCAGCTCTGGTATTAAGTTTTCAAATTTTAGTATTCAATGATTGAAATTTAGAAATAACGTAAACCTGTGAAAATAAACAAAATTTCGACGAAGGGAATCGAACTTACAACCTACGTACTTATACACTAATTTTTTTTTCATTTATTTTTATGAAACAATTTATAAATACAATTTACAAACAAAAAAAACTTCTTACATATATAATCAACCTACGATGTCGAAACGGACCGAAGTCAATATATACTCGTCGACTACAATACATTTTTTTCTTAATCTGTTTTTGTCTATTTATTTTATTGTTTTGCTTTACATGTCATATGTATGTCGTTATAATTTTGTTATTGGGGGTGAGTCTCCAGTTGTGAGACGGGTTTTATTTTTGACCCGTAAATTGTAAACGGGTAAACGAAATTGTAAATAAAATACACCGTTCGAAAGGTAACAGAAATACGCAACTTTTATTAAAAGTAAGTAAATGTCTCCAGTTGTGAGACACTCATTAAAAATTGCTAAAATTTAATAAGTTTGACATAAAACGTTATGTTTAGTAGAAATAATTAAATATATTAATAATATATATTATTATATACTATATAATAATATTTATTCGCAAAAATATGACTATCAAATAAACACAATTTAATAGCTTCAACAAGAGCATTAAAATTGATTTCTTCTGAATCAATTGACTTTTTTAGGGTTCCGTACACCTACGGTGTATCGGCGGAACCCTATTGGTGAGACTCTGTTGTCCGTAGCCAAATCGTGTCCCCCCCCCTAGCGGCTAAACTATTTGACCTAAAGAGCTCAAATTTGGTACAGTTATGTATTTTCACACGTAGATTACAGGAAAAATATAGCGAATGTGATTGGACGTGATGGGCATAGCGTTGTCAAGGAAATAACAAGATTTTTGTCCAAAAATACATAAAAAGTGACCATTCCCCCCCCCCCTTAACTTCTAAACTATTCGACATGGACAGCTGAAATTTTGCATGCCGGTGTATTTTTACTCGAATATTACAGGAAAAATATAGAGAACTTGATATGTAATGATGGCCATAGCGTTGTCAAGGAAAAACTAAAAAATTTTTTAAAAAAATTTGTTTTCCCTAACTTTTACATTATTTGACCTAATGAGCTGGAAATTGGTATCCTGGTGTATTATTACAGTCTGACGACAAAAAATTTATTTAAGAAACTTTTAAAAAAAAATTTTTTAAAAAATTTTTTTTTTCAAAAAAAAAAATTTTTTTTAATTTTTTTTAGTTTAAACACGTGGCATTAAATATTTTAAGGAAGAGAGTGAAATTTTAAGAGAATAAATGAGAGATTGTTCTCTGACTTTAATTTCTTAACTAAAAATAAAAAAAAATTGGACAAGTGCGAGTTGTACTCGCACTGCAATGGCGGGTTCCGTACACATCAAATATTAAAACAATACTTTCAACATTGATCGGTAATTGGTAGAATTAAAATAAACAATTATAAAAATATATTAAAATCATTTGATAAAAAAAATAACTAAAAAAAATTAAAGTATTGTATATCTAATATT